AACCAGTCTCAAAACAGGGAGCCTCCCAGAAGTGTACCTGCATTGCCAGCCCTGCCTGTGGGTGAGGAGCAGGTGGAAGAAGCACGCCCAGAGCAGCTCCCAGCAGGGTCGGGGCTGGTGAAGCCACCACAGCAAGGACAGCAAGCTGCTGGAGCGCACGGGGAGGTCCCAGCACACCGCCTCCCTCTCTAGCTCTCTCCCTGCTCCCGATACGACTGGCTCTCACCAGCAAAGTGGAACTGCAGCAGATCTGAACACTCCCTTCTCTCTTGCCCCAACCCTACAATCTCTAATGGAGCTCTGTCCTTTGCTAGAACCCATCTCCCAGAAAAACAATTACTCTGCTTGGTCAGGGCCCTGCTCGACCAGGGCTTCCTTAGGGTTGTGTCTCACTGCTGTGTCCTCACAGGTAGGGAAGTGCCTGGCCATGGCAGGTGCTCAGTAAGTACTAGTATTTGTGCGTGAGTGAATGGAGACACATCACCTCGCTAGGAAGAGGGCTGTGATTGGTCGAGGTATCTTGTGAGCATGGGAGTGAGGGGCAGTGGCCTGAGGAAGACATGTATGTGCCATGTTGGTAAAGGAGTTCCTGCCAACATAAGACATGAAAAAAGTGGAAATGTAAATTTTAGAAACAGAACATTAATACTTGCAGGAGATTTGTGATCTACCTTAGTAATTGTCAACCAGGGGTAATTGTGCCCCCAGGGGACACTTGGCAGTACCTAGAGCCCTCTCTGGTTGGGGGGGTGGGGAGAGGGCTGTGTGCCACCCGCATCCAGTGGGTAGAAGGCAGGATGCTGCTGAACAGCCTGCAGGGCACAGCACAGCCTCACAAGTGCCACCCATGCTGAGGTTAAGGGAGTAGCATTACTAGTAGGAAACTCAGCCTCCAGGGTACCTTTTCCCGCAGCCCTGCAGCCCTGCAGCCCAGGTGTGCTCAGGAGGCCTCCGGTAGTGCCAGAGGCGCTGGTGAGAGAGAAGTTTCCTTCCTCCTTCAGAAAGCGAATTTGTGCGGTGGCACCGAGGGCTGCCACGGGCTCCCAGAGGGCCGGCAGGCGGGACTGGCTCTGCCACGCAGCTGCCCCGGGTCTCAGAGGCTTGACTCAACTTCTCGGGGCTCCTGGTGCCTCTAGTAAGGGAACGTGTGTGCAGGGGCTGGCTCAGCTGCTCGGAGCCCCTGGGGCGGCCTCTTAGGTGTGACCATGCACTGATACCACGTCTCGTGTTTTTGTCCAGACGCCAATTCGAGGGTGTCAGAACCGCTTCGCAGCGTCTTTCCTGACCTGCACTCAGACTCAGACAGCAAAGACGTGCCCGGCCGCCTCTTGTTGGACATGGACAATGATACAGAAAGCACCGCCCTGTGAAGAAAGCCCCGCTGCGGCCCTTCCTCCCTGAGAGGGAACAGGGCAGGCGGGCGGATCTCTGCAGACCAAACAGTGAGCAGCTTTCGTGGCAGGCAGAGAACCTGGCCCGCAGGACTTCGCCTGTCAGCCAGCGGCAGTGCTGCCACGGAAGCTGAATGACCTGTGTCTCGAGGAACTTGGCTTTCTTTACGTGGGAAAGACATCACGCCAAACAAACCAAGCAAGCCTAGAGGAGGCAGCGCTCTTGCCGCGCTCCTCACTTCATCAGTGCGGCCCTGGCGGCCACTCGGGGTGAATCAGAAGCAGCGCGTTACTGTCCCTTTAATAACACATTCACTATGCAACTGGCCTCCGCTCCTTGGACCTTCATTCTTGCTGCAGAGTCGTTGGCATGAAGTTCGGTCTGTCTCAACCCTCACACCATGAGCGTCGATGGTGGCTGCTGGATCCGCCACCTCGGCCAACTGGATGTACTGTGCCTTGTTGGATTGCCAGGATGTAGAAAGAAATGTACTGTTCTTTAAAAACAATGTAATTGCTACTTGATAAGGACCGACATTATTCTAGTTTCATGTTTAATTTGAATTAAATATATTCTATGGTTTATATGAAAACTTGATTGTTCTTGGAGGGAAACCTGGTGTGTGTATGTGTGTTCACTTAACCAAAGAACTGTGGCTGGGCCACCTGGGTCTCACTGTGGCTGGGCCACCTGGTCTCACTGGCTGGGCCACCTGGTCTCACTGGCTGGGCCACCTGGGTCTCACTGGCTGGGCCACCTGGTCTCACTGGCTGGGCCACCTGGGTCTCACCGGCTGGGCCACCTGGTCTCACTGGCTGGGCCACCTGGGTCTCACCGGCTGGGCCACCTGGTCTCACTGGCTGGGCCACCTGGGTCTCACCGGCTGGGCCACCTGGTCTCACTGGCTGGGCCACCTGGGTCTCACCGGCTGGGCCACCTGGTCTCACTGGCTGGGCCACCTGGGTCTCACCGGCTGGGCCACCTGGTCTCACTGGCTGGGCCACCTGGGTCTCACCGGCTGGGCCACCTGGTCTCACTGGCTGGGCCACCTGGGTCTCACCGGCTGGGCCACCTGGTCTCACTGGCTGGGCCACCTGGGTCTCACCGGCTGGGCCACCTGGTCTCACTGGCTGGGCCACCTGGGTCTCACCGGCTGGGCCACCTGGTCTCACTGGCTGGGCCACCTGGGTCTCACCGGCTGGGCCACCTGGTCTCACTGGCTGGGCCACCTGGGTCTCACCGGCTGGGCCACCTGGTCTCACTGGCTGGGCCACCTGGGTCTCACCGGCTGGGCCACCTGGTCTCACTGGCTGGGCCACCTGGGTCTCACCGGCTGGGCCACCTGGTCTCACTGGCTGGGCCACCTGGGTCTCACCGGCTGGGCCACCTGGTCTCACTGGCTGGGCCACCTGGGTCTCACCGGCTGGGCCACCTGGTCTCACTGGCTGGGCCACCTGGGTCTCACCGGCTGGGCCACCTGGTCTCACTGGCTGGGCCACCTGGGTCTCACCGGCTGGGCCACCTGGTCTCACTGGCTGGGCCACCTGGGTCTCACCGGCTGGGCCACCTGGGTCTCACTGGCTGGGCCACCTGGTCTCACCGGCTGGAGATGTTTGAAGGAATAGAGAACCAGGTCACAGCAGTGACACCGGCCCCCAGGTGCCCCAGAGACTTTCCCCTGGCTGTTCTCTCAGTGAATGTTCCGTGGGTGAGGCCCTTCCTTTGCTCTTGCCAGTCCTGACACCCTTTCTTATCCGCCTAGAGACACGTGGGCCCTGGTGTCCGACCCACTGCCCTGCGGCCTCGTGCAGAAGTCAGAGCTGCTGCTCCCTGCAGGTTCCGTTTCCCAGGGTCTGGAAGGCACTTTCCCAGGATGCATACTGGGGAAGAGCTGATGGGAAAGTGGAGTAAAGGGAGCACAACAGACTGGACGCTGCTCGGGGAGAGCCCCTCCCGGGGCCCAGGTTTGGCCTTTTCCTCTTGGGAGTGTGGAGCACGCTGCCAGCGCGGGGTGCCCGGAGCCATCCCAGTGATGGAATTGCTTGCTGGGCGCATCCTGCGTGACCTGTCCCAGCACACACTGGCCTCCTTCCACTATGAATTCATTCCGCGAGTTTGACTTGAGAAGGGCAATCCCGTGTTTCCTCTAACACAGTTGCCTGTGCCCAACTACTCCCTACATGAATTACATGGAGAATATCTTAAATTCATATTTGCTGAAGGCTCACTCTCCCCCTCATACACCGTCCATGCCTGACCTTCCCCGGGTCCCCTTTAGTGTGGGGCAAGCCCTGCGAGGAGGAGGACGTCTGCCTGCACTGCCCACGGTGTTGAGCTCCTTCTCCAGGGAGCCCGCTGTCCACGGTCCAGCCCCTGCAGCTCCTTGGAGACCCGCCTCCGTGCTGCCCAGGCTCACGCTCAGGAAGCTGGGACTGGTGCCTGGGGGCTGGGAAGGTCCATGGTGAACATCCTCCCAGAATGTAACTCGTGTTCTGTTATCGCTGATTCTGAAATGCAGGCCATACCCTCGTTACCTTAAGAATGTTGTTCAGCCCGACCTGTGTGCCTCAGTGGTTGAGCGTCGACCTATGAATAAGGGGGTCACGGTTCGATTCCCGGTCAGGGCACATGCCCGGGTTGTGGGCTCAATCTCCAGTGGAGGGTGTGCAGGAGGAGGCAGCCCATCAATACTCTCTTATCATTGATGTTTCTTATCTCTCCCTTCTCTCTGAACTCAATAAAAACATACATTTTTAAAACCACCAGCGCGGGGTGCCCGGAGCCATCCCAATGATGGAATTGCTTGCTGGGCGTGTCCTGCGTTTTAAAAATGTATGTTTTTATTGAGCTCAACATCGTGGGCAGTGCAGGCAGACGCCCTCTTCCTTGCAGGGCTTGCCCCACACTAATTACATGGAGATCAGCACAAATGGCACGTGAAGGTATGTTTGAGCCAAATATGTTTTTGGAAGCACAAACAGTGCATCAGGGTTGTGTGTTCGCTCTCTGCTTGTATATGAGTTCAGCTTTATGCACATGAGTAAATTATATGTAAGCACTGGCTGCCATTTCATGCTGGACACTCAGCAGTTCGTTTTCGCACAAGGACCTGGAGTCGAAGCCGGGTCTCACCAGCAATCGCTAGGTGTCCTCCAGGTGATCACTGAGGGCTTAGTCTTCCCTACGCGGGCCGACCTGGAGAGCCAACCTGTGCCAGACAAGCGTGGCCTCCACGCCCAGGGAGCTTGCCGAGAGCACCGGGAGGCAGGTGTACAGAGGGAGGAGCAGTGGGACCACACGGAGGGGAGGTGGCGCCTCCGCTCCGAGAGAAGGGACAGCTGGTGCAGCCGCTGTGGGGCGAGGCGGCGAGGAAGCAGAGGGGAGGCGGCAGTGGGAGCAGGTGAGCCTTACACCTGGTTTGGAAGTTATCAAGGGCAGAGGGGCTGTGAGGGACGGGAGTGCCAGTCCGATTTGTATTTTCTGTCCCCGTGGCTGCGATGCAGGGCATGGCCTGGGTGGGCCAGGCTGGAAGCAGGAGAGCCCGAGGGGAGAGCTGAGGCTGGACATGTTACGGTGAACACGTTGCTGAGGGTGGCACAGCGTGGTCCGGTGACTGACTATGCCCTTCCCAAAGGTGAGAGCTGGTCACAGGGCAGCAAAGTCCACGCTTCCCCAGCCAGAGGCCGGGTGGCTGGTCAGCCCCTCGGCCACCTCCTCAAGCTTAGACCTCAAGGAACTAACTGCAGAAGTGGTGGGTGTTCCTCGGGCACTGGTACCTGGGCAGGGGGCGCAGCCACGCCGGCGGGGGTGTGGGCTGTGGACATGAGAGAAGGAGCCGGAAGGCATTCGTGTTTTAGGGTCATCCATCCGTGCGCCACGCACTGTGCTGGGCATCAGTATGAGGGCAGACACGCTGCCCCGAGGGACTTAAGCTCCCAGAGGGAAGACAAGTAATCAACGAAGTGTGACAGCGGCCTTTGGGGCACATGTGGTGGGCGCCAGGGAGCAGGGCCTTCCCGGAGGAACTGGTGTTTGCGCAGAGGCTGGGGGTTAGCCCGAAGGTGGAGGGTGGTTTAGGAGGGAAGAGGATATTTGTAATCATGCTTAGGGCCACTGTGTGCAGCCCCTGTGCTGGGCCCGAGGTGGGGGTGTGAGTGAGTCTGATGAGCCCGCAAAGGGCGGGAGACCAAGTTGAAGCTGGAGGGCCTGGCCCTCGGTGCCCGCCCGGGAGTCTGGGAAGGGACTGAGGGGCCTCAGCAGAGTGGCTGCCTGTGGCTGGAGAGCAGGAGAGACCAGGGGCAGGAAGGCCGGGCGGGGCGGTCCAAGGGGAGGTGGGGGTGACCTGGGCGTGCCTAGTGACAACTCTCTCTGAAATGCATGTCTGACCCCAACCGGTGGCTGCAGAGCTCAGTGCGACCGTCCAGAGCAGCCCCCAGCTCCCACCCCGCGGCCGGGAGAGGGGCCCTCAGCCTCCATGGCGCCACGGGCCGACACCCGTCAGGCTCTCGCTGAGCCGGCGGCGGGGTCTGCAGAGTGGCCTCATTCATGCACGCTCCCACCTGGGCCCTTTCCCAGGAGGGCGGGGTGCCCTGTCCAGGCCACAGCTGTCACTTGCATTTGCGTGGAAAAGCGAGGCGTGGACAGGCCAAGGCCCGAGCTAGCCCACTGCCCCTTGGTGCAGGCTGCTCCGGTGTCGAGGGCATCAAGGTGCTACTGAGCCACCGGCTGTTCCTCAGCCCCACGGTTTCCTGTCTGTGTTCCTCTGAAGTCTGGACACCAGGGTCCCTTGAGAGTCTACCCGACTCGTCACTTGTCAGGCTGGTAAATGCACCCCTGCAGCCCCTATCTCAGGACGAGGATGAGAGCTCATGGCTCTGGGCTCCCTTGCTCTCAGCTGTGCGTGGGGCAAACTGCCCCTCCAGGTCGTGCCCTCGGGCCCCTCGTGACCCAGAGTAGAGGGATCGGGAGGCTGAAGGCCTCGCTGTAGAGGTTCTCGTGGAGTCGTCCATCCTTCTGGCTGGAGGTGTAGGGGAGCGTCCTGGTGGGGACTTAAGCAGAGAAGCAGGCGGAGCAGAATCGGGGGGCACACAATCCCCGGTTCTTAGATAGCACAGGGTTCCGGCGCCAACACAGGCCCGTGTTCAAGACCATATCAAGAAGCAAGTATCACTCTTAGAGAGCCCTCAGCCGGGGCAGTGAGAGCGGAGGGAGAGGCAGGTGCAGTCCACCCCGGGCACCTCGCACCTCGGCGGTGAGCGGGGAAAGGGCGCGGCCCAGCACCGGCCCTGGCGTGGCTGCTTCCGCTGGAGGTCTCAGCTCCCCCGTCCCTGCGGATTTGGCCGTTGCTGTCGCATGTGGGCAGGAAGAGGGAACAACCAGCTTTTGGAGACAAGGAAGCTTCTACACTGCTCTCCGGTTTCCAGCTCCCAACCTTCATGCCTTTTTAGAAGAAAAGCTAAATGTCCTGTTGAAAATGGCCCACAAACAGCCTTGAAGCCTCCTGGTAGACAGACAAAGCTTTATTCCCCTCATTAAAGGCATTGGAAACGAGTTGAGGTCTTGGGCCTGTTCTGTCTGCACTAAGCAAAGTAGCCCCAGAGGAAGATGCCGCAGCCCATGCAGAGGACGAGGTTGATGTCCAGAAGGCCCTTCACCAGGGGGCGCTCTTCCAGGGACGCGATGGCGGGCTCCACGCTGCTCCGGGGCTCCGCCGGGCCCTTGTCGTCCATGCCACACAGCCACAGCAGGGCCCTCACCGCGCGGGACTGCTCCTGCTTCCCGGTGCCTAGAAAGGACCAAATCCAGGCCGTCAGGAAGGGAGGAGAGGAGAGGAGGGAATGGGAGAGGAAGGGAGGGGAAGGGAGAGGAGGGGAGGGGAGGGGAGGGGGCCTCGCCGGTGTTCTCACGCCCTGTGATCAGGACATCTGACCTTCCTGGCACCTTTCCTGGCAGGTGTGTTTAGTACCTTACTTCCGGGAGGCTGCTCTACTCTGGGAAACTGGGATGTTTAGATTTTTCACCACTTTCAGGTCTCAACTGCCCCTGGGGCCCGGCAGTGGAGTGCAGGAGCCGGGCCCGTGGCAGTCAACATGCCAGAAGATTCCTCACTCCCACCAGGAACTACTCTCTCTCCTTCCTTGAAGCACGTGGCCTGTGCTGCTTTAGGTTGACCTGGGTTCATAGTTATAAGTATGTTTTAAAGGCCACGCGGGATGGTAAGTGACAGCCCCGCCTCAGGGCCGTGGGGACAGCAGGGCCTGGTGGGGCCCTGGCTAACTGGAGGGCAGTCCGGGCCTCGGGCACCTGCTCACAGCTCTACACACGGTTCATGGGCAGACGTGTGGCCAGTGTGGCCAGGCCTTCCTATTTTTCAAGAGAAGACGGAAATCTGGAATTTCATGTGAAACCTCAACCAGTGTGTGGTAAAGTGCCCACCGAACCCACTTCCCTCTTCCTGCCTCATCAGACGGACACCCCCTGGCGCATGCTCCTGGGGGCGCCTGCAGCTGAGGGGGCCACTCACGGCTGTGCGGCTTGGCCTCGCTCCCAGGGGAG